GATGCATCTGGTAGGAACTGTGACAAGGGTGTTGAAGGGTACAGAAGCGAGCAAGCAAGAAAAGGGCGTGTTTGGCTCCTAGAAGAAATCACTCAGAGGAGGTTTGGGGTGGCCGATCCATGCAGGGCTGCCATGGGGAGAAGCTCTGAATTTCTCTGAATTATCTGCGGAGATTCAGAATGCTCTCCACATGCAAAAGCCTATATTAGTTGTTTCTCTGTTGTTATAATAAAATATCATGGCGAGAAGCAACTTACGGGATGACTTTATTTTAGCTTAGAGTTCCAGAGGGAGAGTCCACAATGGTAGGAAGGGCCAATGCCATTTCATCCACACACAGGAAGTAGGGCTATAAAACCACAAAGCCCACCTTACGTGACGGGCTTCCTCCCAGCAAGGTTCTATGTCCTAAAGGTTCCATACCCTCCCCAAACAGCACCATCAGTCAGGGACCCAAGTATTCAAATACATCAGTCTATATGGGGACATTCATCATTCAAACCACAGCATCCTGTTCCGCACTGAGTCACCTAGAACTGGCTGTCAGAACCAAAAATTCCCACTATGGACTTCACGTGATCACAGTCTGGGACTCTTTCCCCAACAGGATTACCACACCATGGGTCTCCTCCATTATGTGCCTTGCCGGACCCAGTGACCTCTGATGCCTCCCTCCACTTCTAAAGGGAAATGTGATAAAGCCCCTCCATCGTGCTGAGCAGAGCTGATTTTGCCACTTAGCTTGCTCTGGTCAGGGAGAGAAAGGACACTCTGTGCATGCTTTCAGGAACAACTGAGAACCAGAAATGTGCTGCCCAGTTGGCACTACAAGCCCGACAGTGAAGACATCTCAGCACGTGTCATTCCAGGAAGAGTAGAGAAGGGAAAAAACAAAGGTTGAGAGAGAATTTTAAAATTTTTTTTTAAAAAAAGAAGGAGTTGGAATTGGTAGCATACAACTTTAATCCCAGCCTGTGTGTGGGTGAAAGAGGTAGGTAGATCTCCGAGTTCAAGGCCAGCCTGGTCTACAGAGTGAGTTCCAGGACAGACAGAAAATCTGCAGTGAAAAACAAAAAAAAATTAAGGAAGAGGGGGAAAAGAGTGATGAGTTAGTGTCTTTCTTTTCTCTCCTGAAGCAGAAGTTACAGTTGGTGCAAAATGGAAATTTCATTTTTATTTGGATTGTATATTTATCAAAGGAAGGCATGCAAGCACTCTGCGGTGTTTTTAAACAGTCAGATCTTTAAGGATTCCATAAGCAAGAGCTCCCTAAACTCTCAATTATCACATCAAAAACCTGTTTCCCATCGGCGTTCATTCCAGCCCTCACTCTTACTTTTTATAGTTATCTCTTGTATTTCTAAAAAGAAAGAGAAAAAAATTACAAATCAGGCTGGATTTGTAGTCTTTTGTCTTCTCTACATTCACAGAAATTGTTTTCAAATAGATCAGTAGGGAGGCTGGGGAGATTGCTCAGCAGTTAAGAGCATTTGCTGCCCTTGCAAAGGACCTGGGTTCTGCTCTTAGCTAGTACCCACACGGTGGTCCACAACTGTCTACAACCGCATGCCTAGGGGATCTGACAGCTTCTTCTGGCCTCTGCAGGTGCCAGGCACACAAATGGTACAGATATATACATGCCGGCTGTATTAGTTACCCTTCTATCGATGTGATGAAACACCATGAATAAGGCAACTTAAACAGGATGTGTTTAATTGGGCTTCAAGCTTCAGATAGTTAAAGTCCACGCTGGTAGAGCAGAGGCACGGTGGCAGGAACTGAGAGTTCACACCCCAGTCTGAAAGCAGAGGGCAGAGAGAGACACTGGGCATAGTGGCAGTCTTCTGAAACCTCAAAGCGTGTCACCATGGACACACCTCCTTGTAATCCTTCCCAAACAGTTCCACCATCTGGACATCAAGCATTCAAAAGTATGAGCCTATGGGGGCCATTCTAATTCAAACCTTCACAAAGGCAAGGCAGTCATGCACATAAAAATAAACAAATAGAAAGACAAAAGCTATCAGTAGACTCTCTAAGGAGACACGAGTCCTTGAAAAAACAGTGCATTCATTCTCTTAGTTCTGGAAATAGAGGGCATTTTACCTACAGGGGATTCTTTGCACGGCTCCTTCTCTGAGGCATCCTAAAGCTGGGCCCAGAACCAACTGGTCTCCAAGCTGATGACAACATCCCAGCAGGCTCTGGGCACATTACAGAGGGCTGAAACCCCAGTATCTAGGGCTGACATTCCAAGCCCACACTGATGGCCACTCTGAGTCCTGCAGGCTTCCAGGGTCTCATAGTGCTAATATTCCAAGTCTCAGCTCAACGCAGGCAATCACACAGTCTCATATTACTGAAAGAGCCCGGCATTTGTTCAAAGACCACAGAGAGGCTCCCAAGCTCCCCTCCCAGCCCTCAAGCCTTCTTTATGCCCAATCCTTTATGATGAAGAGGTGACCACGCTGCCCAGGGATGGGGGTGGGGCTGTCCTTAGCTGGACGCTGGAGAATACTGAACCTTCAAGGACACTGCAGTTCACTCCCAGTGGGAACTCAGGAGTGGAAAGGTCCCCCAGGCAGCTCTGGGGCTGCTCAGCTGCATGAGTCCAAAGTGTTAACTGCCTTAGCATTTTCTGGAAATTGCTGGCCCCACAGTGACGCAAAGCCTCCGCCTGTTCTTTCCTCCCTATTCTTTGACCCAGCCCCACTCTCACCCCGAAAGAAAGTTCCTAGACTGCAGTGCATTGCAGCTTGGTCTCTCAGAATGGGAGGCTATAGCTCGGAGAGGTCACTTGTCCAGGTGACCAGGCAGAGGATCTGAGGCACTGCATCTGAGACTCCGGACTCTGTCTCTTTGCTACCCGTATTAATCACTATGGTCATCGTTGTCGTCATCATCGCTTTTGCGATCAAATATCTAAGAAAGGGTTTATTTGGGCTCAAGGGTCAAGGGTACAGTCCACAAAAGTGGGGAGTCATGGTGGCCAGGGGAAGAAGCAGCTTGTCACACTGTGTCCACAGCTGGAAAAGGAGGCAGCTTGTCACATTGTGTCCACTGTTGGAAAAGGAGGCAGATTATCACACTGTGCCCACAGTTGGGAAGGGAGGCAGCTTGTCACATTGTATCCATGGTCTGGAAGCAGAGCTAGCTAAGATGAATGCCGAAGCTCAGCTCCCTGTCTCCTCCTTGCTCAGCCCAGAACCCCAGCCCGCGGAACGCTCTCCCCACATTTATGATAGCTCTTCCTTCTTCAGTTAACCCAGTCTAGAAACCCCTTCAAGGACACAGGCTTTCTCCTGTACAACTCTAGATTCTGTCACATTGACAGCCAGCATTACTAATCATCACACTGCCCGAAGATGCAGTGTGGAGACCTCGGACCTGCAGAGTTGGGAATCTGTCCGGATGCTGCATTTCCCTGTCCTGTCCAGACCTGCTCAGTCAGAACCCATCCTCAAACAAGACACCCCCTCCCCCGGACAAACAGCTTACCCATGCGGCTAAAGATTGGTGCATTAGTTTTTCTTCTCTTCTCTGCGGACAAGATACTAACAAGAAGCAATTACTAGAGCAGGGGTTTATTTTGCATTGTTATACAGTGGAAACTGGCTTGAAAGCAAACCTTTCGCTTCAAACAGCTGTCAGTATCTATGCCAACGAGGAGACGAGCCTTTGGGGGAAACCAAAACTGTATCAAATCTGTGCTCACTGCCGTGAGCGTCACAGCTTCCCACCACTTCAGGCCTTTTCTGGAGACACTGGTGAAAGTATTAAGATCGTGACTTTGTGAGATTGTGTGATGAAAGGTGCCAACACTTAGAACATCTGCCTGATCCAGTGAACAACTATTTTCAAAATGCCTTATGCTAAAAAATCATGCAGCGGTTTCTAAAATGCATTCACATTATAGAAGATAGTCCAGATGTGGTGTTGGACACATGCAATTCCAGAATTTCAGAGCCGAGGCAGGAGAATTTAGAAAAGAGAAAGGCCTGCTGTGTGTGTGTGTGTGTGTGTGTGTGTGTAAGACAACACAATGGATTTTAGTGTAACGAGACTTGAAAAGAAGTTCACTGATTCAGTTTCAGCTTTCATACTGCAGCCAGCCTTTAATAAAATACCACTCTTGGGTGCTGGGTGCTGGGGATATGACTCAGTGGTTAAGAGCACTGGCTGCTCTTGAAGAGGATCCAGGTTCGAGTCCTAGCACCTATATGGTGGCTCACAATCATCTGTGATTCTAATTCTAGGCAATCCAGTGACCCCTTCTGTCCTCCATGGGTGCACCCACATACAAGCAGGCAAATCATCCATATACATTAAAAAATAAAAAGAAATCTTTAAAAATAAACTACCATCTTTCAAGACCGTACAATCAAAGAACTACCCCACTGATAAATTAAAATACCTATTAAAAACATTTCCCTGTATTCCAGTTCTGTATTCTACGTGAAGTGGAATTTTCTTTAAGATCTCAATCAAAAAGACTGGAGCCCAAAAGGGATCTAACTGGCTTCTGTTTAGAAGGGAGGTGAGCACCGGTATTCATCCCCTGCATTTGGACTCCGGAGGATGTGAACAGAGCCTCTGACTCCCAGCCACGTGTTTCCTGCCATGGCGGATTAGTCCCCAGACTCCTGAGCTACCATAACTCCCCTTCTGTAAGTGACTTTTGTCAGGGTATGCTATCACAGCCGCAGAATGGTAGCCAACACCTCGTCTTGGGCCTATCCCGCGGGACAGCATCGCCTCCTCCTCAAGTCCCATCACTGTTAAAGTGGGAACAATCTGGTACCCGAGGCCAAATTTTATAACGTTCTGCTTGACGGGTAAGCTTTCTAACGTGTAAATATCTGTCTTCTGTGAAGTGTAAGGTTCTTGTCTTTAGAGCTCAAGAATCCACTCAGGACTCCGGATGACAGATTTTCGGCTGTAAAAGAAAAGTATACCAAAAAAATAATGATATTCTGGTTTTATGTTATATAGAAAGTTCAAAAGGTGAGAAATGATTTTTATTCTGTTTCAAAAACACATAATAATAATTCCGGTTATTTGGCTCCAGGCTTATTTTCATCTCTTCAGATTTAAGTCCCCCAAACTAAAGTGCTGTTCCATGGGGCCCTGCTTTGCTGGGGGACATTCGCAGGAGGAAATCTTGCATGCCCTTCCGCAGCTGCGCGTTCTCGGCAACCTCCCTCAGGCTTCTGTGGAGTTTCTCCATCTCCTTCTGCTCACTCCTGACGTCTAGGGAGAAGCGGACACGCATGCGCAGTCAGAGACGCAGACACGCAGGCACCCAGTCAATGCTGCTTCAAAAACAGCCCTCTAGGCGAATCCCTCAGTAACCATCACTTAGAAGGATATAAGATCTGGAATAATCAGATAATCCTGTCTCCTTGTTTTATAAACATCCCAGTCAAGCCAGGGAGTCTCTTTGTTACCTAAAGACTTATCTCAGCATGGATCTTGGGGAGGTCACACTTAAAAAGAGCCCTGGGTGACTGGAGAGCTGGCTCAGTGCTAAAGGGGCTTACTGCCCTTGCAGAGGATCTTAGCTCAGCATCCACATTGGGCAGTACACAACCTCCAGGGGAATCCCATCATGTATGTATGCACGCACCCCCCCCCAAAAAAAAACCAGTAAAATTAATCTTTAGGGAAAAAGTCCTGGGAACCTTCTGGGCGTTCTCTTAGGCCTCCTCAGAGCCTGGTGAAGGGAGACACAAGGCAGAGGACACGGTGGGACCTACCCACATCCCCGCAGGCAGATCTCTGTCCCTGAGACCTCCTTCCTCGCCCAACCTCTATTCCCAGTGAACTTGCCTTGCTCTCTTTTGGCACTGAAGATGTTCATTTTCTACTCTGACTCTGATTATGTTCTCACTGTGGTTAGTTTGCTATTTGTTTTGTACATGTCTTTTGTTTGGTTTTGGTTTTGATTTATTTGGTGAGTTGTGTGTTTTAACGTTTTTGTTTTGAAATAGGCTGTCATGATATAAGCCCAGGCAACCCTCGGGCCTCAGACTCCCAAGTGCAGGAATTGCCGGCATGTGCCATCAGGTCAGCTCTGAGGGTAATTTTATGGCAGTTTTCCAGCCCACGGCATCCAGACCCTCGTGGGATCTAGGCTGTCTGGGAACCTGGGGCACAGTCACTACCTCCCTTAGCGCGTCACGCCACCAGCTGAAGACTGCCCTCCCTCTGAGTAAGAAGGGATTCTCTGACCACCCTGGCCTTCACGTGGGCCATCAGTTCATGGTGTGGCAGAGACCACCTTTGGACTCCAACCGAAGCTCTTTAGAGTTGCCGGCCTGCTTTGCTCTTCCATCAAATGTCTGGCATGCATGACTTCCACAAGTGAACGGGCCAGTTCTTCAGATACAGCCCTCTCCACATCCACACACATTCTCTATGTTCTGGTCTTCTAGAGAACGCTGACCAACACAGTCCTCAGGGAAGAAACTTCAGATGAACTTTGGGTCTGACTCTAGCCATCATCGGCTCACCATGTGTGGATAAATTTGCCTGAGCCTGGCTTGCTATGAAATCCATGACCAGGAAGTGAGTAAAAACCCAAGGCTCCACCTTGATGCGTGTCTGGAAGGCCTTCCTCCTCACTGCTCTACAATAGTCCTACATAGTCATAATTCAAAGCCACCCTCTAGAACTTAGCTTCCCCAAGGTCCAGCCTCAACTAACACAGCTTCCCCAGGGTCCAGCCTCTGCTAACACAGTCCCCCCCCAGGTCCAGCCTCGGCTAACACAGCTTCCCTGGTGTCCAGCCTAGCCTCATCTTACACAGCTTCCCTGGTGTCCAGTCTCGGCTAACACAGCTTTCCCAGTGTCCAGCCTTGAACTATCTCTGCTTCACAGCTATGCTAACCATCTGCTACTAGAGTGGACCCTCTCCTTCAGGTCTCAAGTGTCATTCCTCATGAGTCCCCACCTTGAGCACCTTCCCGGACCATATATTCTACTACTCACTGGTTTGTTCTTCCCTGTCTCTCTCTTTGGAGCCCCTGAAAGTGACTTCAATCTATTGTTAAGTGGGGAAAAAAAAATCTGGGCTCTTTAGTCTTGAAGGTTCCATTCCGACAAACCAGGCAATACTTGACTGCACAGTTTGCCACTCGATCCTCTTTATACCCTTGGCAACTGGCACAGTCTTCCTTCAAGGTATGCACTTGGTATTGGTGGGGGAGGGGAGGAGGAAGAAAACGCTTCATCTAGGCAGGCAGAACTTAGATCAAACTTGGGGTAGTTGTCTGCAGCCGGACAGTTGGAAGACCTTCAGCAAGTATGATTTCCTTAAAGGCAGTGACTATAAAAACTCAAGTCCCCCTGAGTCTTCCTCCACAAATGGCTATATATCACGCATGCTTTCCTGCATGCCTTCCTTCCTCTCCAACACCTGCTGGAGATTGCTTTGTACTGCTGTGTCCTGGGCTGAGGGGCTTCACGGTGTCCAGCTCCACTGCCACTAACCGCGTGTCTCCCATAATCTGTGCTGTGCTCATAGAGGCTTGCGTTGTCTTGCCTTGGGATACCACAGGTGCTGATGCTCTCGTAACTTTGTCTGTGCCATTTTGTGCACACCCGGGGCTGCTGAGAGGGCAAAATCCTAGATTCCCAGGATGTTGAGCCTCAAGACTGGGGAATTTTGGCTAGAATTTTCTCAATTACTTTTCTCCCCACTTGGTCACCATCTCATTTATACAAGGCAAGTTTGATGAAGCTCTGGGCAGGGAAGGGAGGCACAGTCACTTTCCCAGGAGAATCTTTTTCCTCTGTCACTAGGAGATGGAATCTTTTCTAAGGCAGCGTCTTGAAAAAGGGTTATGGAGACAGAGGGGGAGCTTGTGGGTTGCTGTTTGCCAGTGGCCAGCTATAGAAACTTGGGAGTAAGCCTGGCCTAGGCTGTCTCTTTTCTCTGCATATAAAAGACGGAGCAGTGGCTAGTATCTCTGAGACCTGGGGAGACTTACACACGACGACACCCACTGAGTCCAAGCACTTGTCTCTGTTGGGTCCTCTTCAGAGTAAGATAGTCAAAACCATCATCTGCAGAACTTGTTATAGAAATTCCAACCTTGATGTCTGTGCTTTTACATTTTTATTATTTATTTTCATTTGTATGTGTGTTTTGCCTGCATACTTGTGTGTGCATCGTATGTGTGCAGTACCCACAGGGGTCAAAAGAGGGCATCAGATCTCCTGGGACTAGAGATACAGAGAGCTCTGAGTCACCATGTGGGTGTGGCGAGTTGAACCCAAGTCCTCTGGAAAAGTAGTCAGTGCTCTTAACTGCTGAACTATTTCTCCAGTCCCACCCACTTTGATATCTTTGCATTCAACCAGGGGCAACCGCACAACTGCCCTCTGTTCAAACGTTTTTCTACTTACCTACAAGCTCCTTGTAGAGACCATCTCCCTGGGGGGCAGCAAGGGTCAGCATGGTCGTGATGCTTCCCTTGACCCGCTCAGTGATTCCATGCTACATGACAAGAACATCAGATCATTAGGATGGTGCAGTCTAAGGGAAAGCAGGTTATAAAGAATGAACCTCACTGGACCCCCCAGCTGGAGGTGACCCCAGAGGGCTATCAGCGGAAGGCATTCTCATCGGCTCCCTCCTGCCTCTGCAGCTCCCCCCTGCCTATGGGGATGCACAGCAGGCTGTCTTCTGAAGGCAGCCTGCTGATTCTGGTGCTAAAGAAGAGATGCAGCTTCAAACTCACAGTCCTCTCCTGCGTGAGTCCTGGATGGGTATCTATCACCATTGCCCCGTGCAGCGCACCTTGTTAGACAGGACCGACTCTTCTTCCCAAAGGCCTGAGGAATGTCTTTCTGCTGTTCTCAACCCTCTGAGCACCTAAACACCATTGTCTGCTCTCCTCTATTTCTTTTTTTTATTTAAAACTTTATTTAACTTTATTTCATGCATATTGGTATAATGATGTCAGATTCTCTTGAACTGGATTTACAGACAGCTGTGAGCTGCCATGTGGATGCTAGGAATTCAACCCAGGTCCTCTGGAGGAGCAGTCAGTGCTCTTAACCACTGAGCCATCTCACCAGCCCCTCTCCTCTATTTCTTATATCTCCTGTGGCAAATGCCAAGATTCCTTCCTCCAATCTGGTGGACTCTAGTCTTGAAATCAAAACTCCTCACTTCCTAGCCTTATACTTCTTCAATGTCAGAACAAGGGCCCCTGCCTTGAGCTAGTAAATTCAGTTCACAGGGCCTCAGCATCCTTGTCTATAAGATCAGGGAGAGGGAGAGCTATAGCTCTCTAAACCAGATAGAGTTACCTCACTAGGGTAACAGCAAATCAGCAAGCCGCATGTGGTATTTTGAATGAAAATGGCTTCCATAGGCTCATAGTGAGTGGCACTGTTAGGAGGTGTGGCCCTGTTGGAGGAAGTATGTCACTGGGGGTGGGCTTTGAGGTTTAATAATGCTCAAGACAAGCCCAGTGTCACTCTCTTCCTACTGCCTGAGGATCAAGATGTAGAACTCTCAGCTTCCTCTCCAGCACCATGTCTGCCTGTGTGCCACCATGCTTCCTGTCATGATGATAATGGATTAGACCTCTGAGCTGTAAGCCAAACCCCATTAAATGTTTTCCTTTATAAGAGTTGCTGTGGTCATGGTGTCTCCTCACAACAATACAACCCTAACTAAGACACTGTACCACTGATCAGTTTAGCAGAGACTGATCAATACATTCAGTAGAATAGTCTTCTGCTCTTCAGCTTACGATAACATTTTAAAGGAATCCGCTTATTTTTATTTTTAGTTAGCTAGCTAGCTAGTTTATAGAGGGAGGAGGCACAGGCAATAGCACACAGACAGAATCAGAAGACTACGTGTGGGAATCAGTTCTCTCCTTTCACTATGTAGGTCCTGGGGATCGAACTCAGATTGCCAGGCTTGGCGACAAGTGCCTTTACTTGCTGATCCATCTCATCAGCCAAGAGGTCAGTTTAAAAACAGGAACATTCCTCACACTAAATATGTATAAAATAAAATTCCTTCCATTCGGCAGAACAAAAATATTTAAATAATTAAAAGTTGACTATTAGTCATATTATGCTTTTTTTCTTTTTCTTTTCTTGGTTTTTCAGGACAGGGTTTCTCCATTTAGTTCTTGCTGTCCTGAAATTTACTTTGTAGACCAGGCTGGTCTCGAACTCACAGAGATCTGTCTGCCTCTGCCTCCTGCTGAGTGCTGGGATTAAAGGTGTGTGCCACCAGCACTCAGCAAAAGTTGACTAATTCTTGATTTTGAAAAAGGTCGAAGGATGAAGTACAAGATGATCTTACCCATTCTTATCTATCTACATGTCTATGATTTAAGTTATACATGCACATGGTCAGTGTATTAGTTCCTTTTCAGTAGCATGTTTCATTGAGTAGCTTAATGAAACCATTTCTGCATACTCGGTGGAGATGGGCTCTATAGCGTTTGGTCAGTTTCCCACACGTATTTCTGTCTGTGGTACCATGCTAACTGAGTGGAATCAAACAGCTGCTAATGAACCAGATAGCTCTCACCTAGGTCACAGGAAGTTCCCTGCTTTAGACAACAGAGACTGGGTTTTCTGAAACAAACGGGGAAGATGGGAAGAAGCAGGAGAGACAGTCTCAAGGAGGTTAGTGAGGAACTGGCCTGATGCTGCCACAAGCTAGCTTCCTCTGTGGGTGGGATGGAGGTCAGCTAAGCCTGAATTGGGACAGAAGACTTTGGAGCCTCATGACCAGGGAGGGGCTAACGAGACCAAGATGAAGGTTTTCTGTTATTGGGAAGAAGGTAGCAAGCTAAGAAACCCAGCGCCAAGACATGTCCATCTGACACATAGAGATGACAGGATATTTAGATCTAAGAGGACTCTTAGGAATCTTATCAGAAACAGATGGACTAAAATTGAATCTGAGCCAGGTCCTTCTATTCACTGACCTCCGGATATATTTTGATCTTTTCTTACCAAAATTGTATGGAGCTGAGCCATCTTCCTTATTAAAAAATATTGTCGCTTTCCGATTATGCTACTGTTGGATACTGGCACCATGCCACCTGGTCCTGAACTCTCTACTTAGCTCTGCCTCCCGGTAGCTGTGACCTCTTGGCTCATCTCTTCTGCCTGTGTTTGTTAATACACAGAAGGGATACAGCGATAGTACCGCCTCCCAGACTTGCCGGGGATTAAGTGAGGGAATGCACGCCAAGACCCAAGCACCCACTTAACTATCATGGCCCCTGTCCTACGGATGACTTTGCAGAGAGGTGTGACAAGGGACAGAGCTGAAGGGGTTGTGTTTCTAAAGTCACAGCCCCATGATGTAGTCGACAGTAGTGCTTGGCAGGGAAGAAAGGATGCTGGGCACTGTGGGCACTGTCTAGGCCCAGGGCAGAGGGCATCTGGCTCTAGTTGGCCCAGGTATCTACTATTCTCCTGTACCCGCTCCCCATTTATGCTCCCCAGGACTGAACCATGCCCTGCAGAGGCAGAGTACCTTCAGTTGTTGAAACTGGTGCCACATCCTCTCTTGAGCCCTCTCAAACATGCCCTCAGCTACCTGCCGCTCCACCCCTCTTCGGATGACATCTTTCATTCTCTCACAGGCTTTCCGGCCAGCGATCTGAGCTGCCTCTGACCAAGAAAAAAAGAAAAAATAGCCACAGTCACATGATAGCAGGGACTTGCTGAGAAAGCTGTAGCATCAGAAGAAAAACCAGGCATGCAAGCAAGCAAGCAGAAAAAACACTATATATATATATATTTATAACATACATCATGTAAAAAAAAAAACACCATCCAAGATTTAGATTATCATTCAGAAAATCCAATGACTGAGTTAAGCAGGTTGCAAAATCACTTCCTAAAACAAACTAAGAAGGGGCCTGAGAGTTGACCCACAAGCATTTAAAGAAGGCACAAGTGAACACTGTGTCCCAAGCTACAGGCAAAGGGCTGTAGCTTGTAGACAGAAAGACCCCTCAGTTCCTTTTCCTGCATCCTGCGATTGTCTCAGCGTGTAGGCTGAGAGCAGTACAAGAACTCGGGTTGGAGGGATGGGTTCTTAGAAAGCTGCCGGCAGAGCAGGAAGTTGATAGGAAATGGGATCCCAGAAAACTGAGAAGAGGAAGTGCCTCCCTGGGGGCCACCTTCATAGCAGGGCTTCAGGTCGTTTTGAATGGAGCTGGTGACAGACTCGTAGATCTTCCTCTTCCTCCGGAGGATGTGGCCCTCCAGGCCTCCCAGGATGGCACTTATCTGAGAAAGCATGTTAACAGATATTTGGGATGGTTCCTCTGACAGAGGGAGTCAGTTATGGCTATGATGTATATGCCACCCCATCCTCCTGCCTTCTGTTAGGACTGGCTATTGTGATTGATGACCAATATTGTCACCTTGATGGGATCTAGAATAACCAAGGAAACGAGCCTTTGCAGAGGTCTGTGAGGATTTTATAGATATGAGGTTAAAAAATCATACATCAAATATGGGTAACATCACTCCATCCAGTAGGGTCATGGACCAAAAGGAGAAAGCAAGGTAAGCCCCCATATTTATCACTCACTGCTTCCCGAATGTGGGTGTCATGTGAGCAGCTGCCACCATGATTTACCCTCAGTGGTGGACTGTACCCACAAACTGTGAGCCAAGACAAACCCTTCCTTCCTTCCTTAATTTGCTTTTGTCTGGATTTTACCGGAAAAGTAACTAACACAGTTGTCTGCACGCCGTCCCGACAGCTCGGCTGCCGGCTCCCCACAGGCAAGGACCCAATCCAGAATGTCATTATCCCCTAAAGGAGCCCCTGCACAGTACCTGGTACAAATCATACTCTACAAAGTGTGTACCGAGTAGAGCACAGACTCAGGGAAGGTCTCTGAGAGGCTAGGGGCACTGGCATCAGCCCTAGCATTGCCATGTGATTCCAGTTAGGCCTGGGGGAAAGTGAGTCACACACAAGAGCCTGGAGTTGTCAATTCTAGCAAATGACCTGAAATAATGATGATGATAATAGTGATAATAACAACAACGATGATGATGGTGATGATGGTGATGGCTGACTCCTCTAAGCTTGGCTTCTTTGGCTCATTCATAAAATTGGCAGAAATGATGGTGAGGTTGGTGCCAATCTTATTATGGGATGCACATTATCGCACATTTAAGTGTTCTGTGACTATCCCGGGGTCTGTGTCAACTTCACCAATTGAGATGCCCCCGTTAATTGCTTCTCCATGGAACAAAGCTCTCCTGAGTGTCCTACACCTCCATGGTGGTCTTAGGACCTCTTCTCTCACCTGCATCCTGCCATGTCTTATACCTCACAGGGCCCTGAAGAGATACATCCTGTCCCTAGACAGTCAGGGAGAAGAAAGCCAGGGCTCGTCTTTTCCACCCTCTCTGAGGAGCATACCTCCTGGATTAGGAGGCCTCTCTTGTAGCCATCGCATTTCCAGCCATTTCTTATCCCGATTTCTGCCATCCTCTCTTCTAGGGAATGCTTGAAAGCATCTATGTGCACCATCAGAGCAGGGCCAGTCGGCTTCCCATCCCTAAGGAAGAAAGTCATGGAACAGATTAAGAGACCATGGTGGTGACTCAGGGGACAAACAAGCATGAGACAAGTTGGCTGTCTTTTAATACTTTAAAGAAGAAAAACAAATGAACGGTAACAGCTGTCAGATCCCCCACAGTGTGCCAGACGCTGGGCTGCTCTAGGCCTTTGACTGCAAGGCCTATATGTCATTATGATGGTGCCTATTTTACAGATGAGAAAACTGAGATACAGAGGGAATGGTCGGCATGCACAAGATCACACAACTAGTAAGGGGCAGAGATCGGGCTCCAAACTGTGATTGCCAGTGCTTGTATTAGGGAGGACGGGACTTGAACCTTCAGACAGAGGTGAGATAGGAGGAAGTGAAATGGAGGAGGAGTTCTCTTCAGAATATCTGAGGAGGAAGAAGCAGCAGGCCACTAAGGAAGAGTATGAGCTTTGAATCCTGGGGTTCTTCCATGATCTGGGGTTCCTGGGAAAGTCTCACATTTCTTCATGGTCCACTTGTCCATGTGTAAAGGACCAGAGCCACTCTGGAGAGTCACAGGGAGCATTTGATGACTCACGCAGATGCTGATTAGCATGACAGATGCAGGTTGTACTGACTGATGCTCTACGTCTGTCCCACAGGGTGAGGTAGAAGATGGTATGGCGGGACCCAGTTGTGCTTAAAGAATGGTGGGGATAGAGAAGGGATACCTGGGACAGGCTGCTGCATTGGGGATCTGAAGAACCTCCTTCTGTTGATGGAGGAGAGTGAGAGGTCAGGGAACACAGCCCACAAGTCACGTTCATGAGCATGCACGCACCAAAGGCAGATAGCATCCCCCCTGAGCCATGTTTTCTTTTAACACTCAGGGAACGTTCCGAAGGCTTTGTGCTTGCTGTATTCCACATTCTCCAATCAAAATACCCTGTGCGGGGGCTCAGATCCCTAAGAAAACGAATCCCCTGCTGCACGTAGGAGATATTTGGAAAATAATGGCAATCATAATATTAGTCTGCAGCAACATCTCCATCTGTGCCCCGGGTCACCATGGGAAATTTTTAAGTAAACCAAACCAAGATGGCTTTTGTGTTGTGCCAGAAGCTAAGCTTTCCTTCTCAAATAACCAGCTACTCTTTACACTTTCAGAGCCAAGGAAATAAATTCTTAAATCCGAGACTCTGGGTTGATGTCCTGCAGATGTGTATTTATGAGAAAGCAAGATGAAAGATTCTTTACCTAAAAATGCCTCCAAACACAGGGTCGATCTGGTCATAGATAGGCTGAGAGAGGGCTCCGTTGAGGTCGATTCTGGCCAGAGTCCTGGAGGCATAGACACCATTTTTGAGGCAAACAGCTTTCAGGGTCTGGTGAAAACCTTGGTTTCCTCTGCTTCTCTAGACAATTAAACAATGAATTAGCAAGTCAGTGGGAAGTAACTAGAAAGTCACAGGGTCAGATTCTCACTGTTATTGGTCAAACTTCGTTACTGAAAAGTCTTAGGATGGAAATGAGACAACATGGTCTTTAAACATGCCCTCAAGGCATTAAACAATCGTGGTCACATCTCTAGGTTAACTGGGAGCCCCTGCCTGGACTTCCAAAGTGTCTCAGGTTCATGTCAATCACAAGCCTCTATGATGAATAATACTGATTGTCCATTTGACAGACTCTCAGATCACTTATTATACAAAATTCTGGGCAAGTTTAATCTAACTCTAGATTAAATTAACTGAGTTGGGAAGACCAAAACTAAATGTGAATGGCACCATTCTATCAACTCGGGTCCCAGAATGAATTCAAAGGAGAAAGCAAGCAAGACACTGGCATTCATCTCTCCCTGCTTCTGGGCTGCAGAGTCAATGTGACCAGCTGCCTCACACTCCTAAAGCCACGCCATAGCCGCCATGATGGACTATGCCCTCAAAGTGGGAGCCAGAAAGAGCCCGTCCTTCCTTAAGCTGTTTCTCACTGGGCATTTTGTCACCGATACACTAATTCGCCTTTCCAGACAATTTTTGGTTTGCCCGTCTCCTCACTTGTCAGTCTCTAATGCCAGAAAGTCAGATTGTTGAGCTCAGGCCCAACGTCTCACCCATCTTTATATAAGTTCACATCTGACAAGGACTCAAGAAGTGATTGACAGCTATTTGTTAAATGAGCAATTATGGGATAAATAAAAAAAAGTGTACTACAGACTAACAGTAAGTATATGTCTTGGAATCCCTGAGGAACAGTATAAACTTTGTGGAATATTTAATGAAATACAATTGGAGTCACCACCCCGCCAGCCAGATTTTCTTTTCTTTTCTCTCCCAAGCCTACGTATATTTTTGAGCATACTGTAAACCATTTAGAGGGCTTTTTTTATTTGTTTTTCTCTTTTCCTGAATCTGTCTTTACTATATATCTCTATCTTTGACCACATGAGTTTTTAATCTGCTAAGTGTCATAGCTAGGATTAAGAGGTTTTGGTGGCTGGCTCTGCCCCGTTCCTTGGATTTCCTGAGAACCTACGTTCATGGCAGAGATACTAGGAGGAGCCACGTTATATTGCTACAACTCTGCAGTGTTTCTAGGTCCATGTCACCACTAAGAAGCAAGCCACTGGCTGCTCATAAACACCACTTAAGTGTTTGGTAGCAGGGCCTCTTAAAAGAACTGCTTTTGCTGCTAATGCTGAGTCACGAAGCCTCTCATAAAGGAGCCGCACCTCTGCTTGCCTCTAGATAACAGAGCCCACCCAAGAAAATGCTGCTACCAAGAAGTATAGGCCCATAGTCTATATGGTATGGCAGCAAGGCTATCAAGCCATAGTTCCCACCTGAGGTGGTCACATGACCTTCCAGACAGGCTGCCACTAACTTAACAAAAGGTCAGGATGTTGTTTTGCTCCTTTCCTTTCTTTGTAATTTGGAGGATGCCCGATAGAGATGCTGATTCAAGCCTTCCTGATAAAGCCACATGAGTTGTGTGTGTCTTTATTCCCGCACCTCCATGCCGGTCCAGGGAGAGGTAGTTTATATTGGGGTCTGTTTCAGAGAGAAATAATTTATGGTCTGGGCTAGCACCAGACCCTGACAAAGAAGCCATGCTTGATTATGTTCTCTCATATCTAGAATCCCTTCCCAAGTTCTCTCAGTCTCTTGGGTTTTATGTGGATATAGCTACAAAATGTTGGGCGCCATTTGTTGACAGAAGTTTCTGTCTAACTTGGTCCTGCAGTCTTTCAGTCACAATTAAACACACAGAGTCTTGCATTAATTATAAACTGTTTGGCCTATTGCTCAGGCTTATTACTAACTAGCTCTTACAACTCAAATTAACCCATAATTCTTATCTATGTTTAACCACATGGCTTGGTAACTTTTTCCTAGCAAGGCATTCTCATCTTGCTTCCTCTGCAGCTGGCTTGCGATTCCTGATCCCACCCTTTCTCTTCCCAGAATTCTCTTAGTCTAGTCATCCTGCCTATTATTTCCTGCCTGGCTACTGGTCAATCCTCATTTTATTAATCCAATAGAAGTAACTTTTTGTTTGTTTGTTTGTTTTTGAGACAGGGTTTCTCTGTAGCTTTGAAGCCTGTCCTGGAACTAGCTCTTGTAGAACAGGCTGACCTTTGAACTCACAGAGATCTGCCTGCCTCTGTCTTGTGAGTGCTGGGATTAAAAGTGTGTGCCACCACCTCCCTGATACAAGTGACAAATCTTTATACTGTACAAGAGTGTTATACTATAGCAGAGACTTTTAAGGAGGTCATTAAGGGTAAGTGAGATCTCAAAGGTGGAGCCCAAATTCAATAGAATGGAAGTTCTTATAAGAGAGACACTAGTTATGCAGCTTGTACACACACACACACACACACACACACACATGCTCATGAAAAAAATATAAGGGGCACCATGAGCAGGTCACTGTCTCCATGTCAGGGAAATAGGTCTCAGCAAACACTGCCAACATCTGACTTTCCAGCCTCCTGAGCTTTGCCTGTTATTCAAGTCACTCTCTGTGCCTGTGACACCCTGTCATGACTGCTGAGCAAAATGACAGAACTCTCCTTTCACCCCTTAGTCTTAACAGAATTCCACCCCGCATTCACAGCTCCATCTTTGAGAAACCCCACACATCTGACTGATATATAAAACTATTTATGTCAAGCAAGTAGCTTGCAAGGTGTTCCTTCTGTCTAACATGACTGATAATGCTATCAGTGTCAGGAGATACTTAGGGCAGACACCTAGCAATCCCATTCTATGGAAGAGATGATCGAGAAATCTCTAAACGGTCTTAACATACTAAATGGTTTGTGCGTTACCCAGATGTTTACTGGAAATGACCCTCAAACTAAGAAATTCAAATCCTGAAGCCCAGTCTTTTGCTGCTGAACTGCAGGCTTAATTTTCCCCGCCACAGGTGAGCAACCATCTGTGTAGAGGATTTCTTACATAGAATTTTCATTCTTTCCCTACTGTTATTTGTTTTCTTGCTTTCTTGCTAGATTTTGACTAGGAGTTTTTGAGGTAGGAATTCACTCTGTAGTTCCCCCAGACTACTTGGGAACTTACTACAAAACCCAGGTTAACCTAAAACCCACAGCAATCCTCCAGAGTTAGGTAAAATTACAGGTGTGAGCAAGCCATGTCTTGCTTTCTTCTAGCTCCTTCTAGAAAGCAAGGTGATGGTATCAGAGGCATTTGGAGATCAAGTTGACCTTGCTAAAGAGAAGAAAAGGCCACTCACCACCAGGCATGTCCCGAGGATACGGCGGTAGGAAGCCCTGGCCACCTGGACTCCTGCCTGCAGGGGCTGCTCCATACAAGCAAAGCACTGCTCAATAGCCTTCTCCAGCAGCTCCATCTTCTCCTCCACAAACTGCCGCAGGCCACCCATGTTCAAGTGTTCAGTCTAGGGACCAGGTCACAAGGAACATCAGATTCCCTAAACTCTGTTCTACAAAAACCCATCACTAGCGCAAGCTTTAACTTGCAGTTCAATCAGAGGAGATTAATCCTTACTGTCTGCAGAAGGCATCCTCAGTGCACGGACATCCTTGGGTTTCTTAGCATGTAAGACAGAACAAAAATGCTGTCGCAACTTATTTGGGGTGTAAAATCCACAGCCTATTTGAGAAAGGAACTGGATAACCATCTATACTCTGGTTTTCTTCATATTGCAGAAATCTTTCATCTTTTACCATATGACAATTCAATTATTATGAACACAAAATTTGGGTACTGGCAAGAATCGAAATAAGACAAGACCAGGCACTGGGGTGAATATGATCAAAATACATTCTACACATGTATGAAAATGCCATAATAAAACTCATTCACATGGATGATTAATACATGTGAATATAAAATGCAACGAAAACTTTAAAAGAAAACAGATTTTCTCAATGCCATCTGAATTGACAAGCATTTCATGGTTTTTGGCTTTACACAAAGCCATTTTGAGGTCAGTGTTTCAATGTGCTCTCCACTTTAAAATCTGAAGGCCTAAGTTTCCGTGTTCCTAGTCAGCTGCTAAGTGAACAGGCCTGAACCTTCAGCCACACTTTGATAAGCAAAGCTGTAAGATCATAGAAACAAAGCCATGATCCCATCTTCCCAGAAGAATGTTGCTGACTGGGGAAAACAACACGCTCATGCATGCACTGTATGACTCTGTTGTCTGCAACAATGAACTGCATAGGTGGAGCGAACTCATGACTGGGTGACAATGTCCGGGCCTAGGGGTGTGGGAAGCATCCATCTGTATTCATGAGTAGACACACTGTGAGGATTACACAAAGATAAGGTTGGTAAGGCCGCAGTTCTCAGAACAAATCCCTGCCGTAAAGGGCTAGATATAGAACACAGAAAGAGGGGAAGCCGGAACTCTATGTGCATTAGGGCTCATTTGACATTGAAATGTCAGGACCAACTTCCTGTCAATCCAAACAATAATCACTTACTGAAAATCACTAACTATCCCCAGATCTAAACTTCTGGTTAGAAACACAATCTTGAGAAAAATGATGAAGAACACACGTTTTAGGGTTGATTTCTTTCTTTCTTTTTCAGGAATCCAAAGGCACTGACGGAACTCTTGTCTTCCAACTTTCCATCAAAGAATTAAGACCAACATCGGAGGCCAAGGAATTTTGAGGAAAGCTGCCGCAATTCCCTTAGACTTCCCTCGGCAACATTCTCATCAGCCTCTGCCCCTGTGTCTTTATGGTTTAGGTTTGGCGCGGTGGAGAGCCCCCAGGGCCTGCACTTCTGAGTAGGCAAAGAACAGCAAACAGGGACAGACACTTCCAGGCCTGGTCCCAAAATATCCTGTCCTTGTGCCTGTAAAACAAGCCGCCCACACACAGCATCATGTTTGATTTATTTTCCATCGGCACTTCCAAAAGCAATCTAGTGTTGGGCAAAAAGGCAGATTTCACCCCGCAGAACTTTTTCAGGGAACTGAAAGGTCAAACCCTTCCCCAACCATTTCAGAGGACAATAGTCAAATCAGAGATGGAAAAGAAAAGAAAAAAAAATCTCAGATGCCCAGAATTTTGCTTTGCTTTGTCTCATGCAGCTAAGCCAAAGCAAAACCTAAGGAGTGTGACAAACAGCTGTGTTTGATTCCCCCTTTATGGTCTTCCAAACCCTGCACTGGCCAACGCGCTGCCCTGCTTACTTTCACACTGAGGTCAGATCTCCTATTCTTGCCACCTGTCAGGCTTATGGCTGCCTTCCTTTCCCAGGCCACGATCAGCCCCAGGAACTCTTCCAAGAGCCCGCTTAGCCCCTCCCCTTCCCGGACTAGTCAATCACGTAGATCTGCTGGGCAAATCCAAGTGTGGAAGTAGACAAGGAGCAGCTGAGGCAGAAAGGCAAATGTTGTTTACTCGGAACCACCATTGCTTCAGTTTGGGGGGACAAGCCCCTGTGTGGTTGGTTCATTAGGGATTCAAAATTGGCTTCTGTGCCCGGTTAAAAGTTAGGGAAACTAGTCACCGAGGCCTGGCCAGTTGGAACTGTTGGCTACAGAAGTTGTTCAGCTTCCTGGATTGTGACTAGAGATGGCTATCTGATCTCCGGCCAGGCTTCAGACTTGGAGCCAGCAGGCTGGCTTCCTAACTGGGTGCAGAGGGTAGGGCGCTGGTTTGCTAGACACCTGGCAGTAGGGTATGAGTCTGGGCTCTGTTTTCACACACAGTCTGGTTGCTGTCTGAACACTCGGTCTCTTAGAAAGAAACAGTGCGGTTAGCGATTGCGGAAGGGGCTGATTTTTCTACCTACATCTCCAAGTTTCTCTTTTGGCAGCTAGCTCCCTTCTGTTAGGGCGGGGCCCTCTATCAGAAAGAAACCTGTCCATTTCTGTGACAAAACGTAATTTTTTACCTGGACAGTCCCAAGGTCTGCATTGGAGACTGTGAAATGTGCGGACTCTGGCTGACACCCCTCTTCTCCAGCCTCTTTCCTTTCAGAGCACCACTGCCCTTCCTGTTTGTTACATTCCAGTGAGACATGCCCCCCCCACCCCCACCCCAGGCCCACGCGATTCAGTCACTTATCCCCATCCGGTAGTGCTGTCTGGGGAGGCTGTGGAACCCTCTGGACATGGGGCCCAGCTGGCACACACAGGGCCCTAGGTCAGCAGAGGTGGACCTTAAGGTTATAGGGCAACCTCGCTTCTTCTCAGCACTCGCTGTTGCCTGTTTGGCCACCAAACTGTGAGCACGCTGCTCGTGGCCCACCACCATGGCAGACGGTTTCCCTTCAACTGTGAGCCACAGTAACCTTACTGCCGAAGGTCGGTGTTTTGGTTTTGCTTTGCTTTGTTTTCTGCCAGGTATTGTCTAACAGCGACTAGGAAAGTAACGCATGCAGACTGGGACTCTGAAGGCAAGTCGGTGAAAGAAGCCCCCAAGCGTCAGTTAAGGTTTACACAACATGACCCTGGTACGGATGTCCTGTATGAGTCACTAAAACATGGACATCCAAGGGGCTGAGAGTCAGTGCAAAACGGATGATGATGCCTGGATGTCTGGTAATCACAGAAGACAGATATATGAGCCGTTATATAACTGTTTGGGGCAGAGTTCCTCTTTTGTGTGTGTCCGCATGAATCTGACCTTGAAGTCAGAAGCCCAAGCCTTTGCCTTTGTCGGCCTGTGTTTGCCAGTCATTTACCTCCTCGTGGTCTATGAATCAATCTACACATAGGCCTGTGCCTGCCCTTACGTGACCCTTGTGTGCCTGCGCCTGCCCTTATGTGACCCTTGTGTGCCTGCGCCTGCCCTTACATGACCCTTGTGTGCCTGCACCTGCCCTTACATGACCCTTGTGTGCCTACGCCTGCCCTTACGTGACCCTTGTGTGCCT